AAACTCATATATGTGTTCTATTGCATCGATGTTTTTTTTAGTTGTTTAGATTGGTTTCTATATGTATTGGTTTATTTTAGTTATTTAATTTGTGTTCTGACGATTTTGGTAGGAAATTTCCGATTCCTTTGTGTTATTCCAGTTATCAGGATTCGGTCTTATATTCGTTTTTATTGAAGGTTATTAAATTTATAGCTTGTGTATTAAACGTTTCTTAATGGACTATATCAAGAAACATGTTTTTTTATAAGGTTTTTTTTTTTTAATTTAAAGGTTTTTTTAACTCCTTTTGTCAATATTTTTTTGTATAAAATTTATTTTTTGGTATTTTCTCACCTTAACCTATAATACAAGTTTTGTTTGTTCTATTGTTTGTTATGGTTTTTGACAATTGTTTGTTCTGTTTTCTTGCATTGCAGGTTTACGAATGGAGATTTTATATTCGTTTTCATGTTTTTTTTATGATTTTTAAAAAGCTATATATGTTTAGATCATATTGTATTATGATTTGATTTTAATAACGATAGCTAATGATTTTTTTTTTGTCTTCTAGATCAAAGCCTTGATCAAAGCCTTCGTATTATGATAACGTTGATCCATTTTTTTGTTGTCCACGTAATCAATGTAGTTAGTTTGTTTGTGTTTTAGGTTCTTAATCGATTTGTTCCATTGGATCGAAGTTTGGTTAACCAGAGTTAAGGTTTTATATTCATTGTGTTATCCTTTTCATTTTGATTGAGATTCTACATTGATAACTTTAATGTTATCTTACTCCTTTTTTTATGATCACAAGGTTAATTTACTCTTATCTTACCTTTTTAATGTCTATTTCGTTTTTTTCATATATATATTTAGCACATATTATTTTGGATTGTTTTGATCTTACATATTTGGTTCCTCAACGAGATTAGGCTTTGTATGTTTGGTTTTTATTATTCCAACTGCTTTACATCTTGGAAGCATATTACATGATTGTAAATTATATATATTTTCATAATTATATGTATTTTCACTATATCACTTAAAGGAGTAATTTTTTTATTTCATTTAGATTATCTCTCGAGATGGTTCATTGTATATTTTATTAATCCTCCGGTTATCCATGCGTTTTGTTTGGGATCCACTCAGATTGCGGAGATTTCAGGGAATGACATGGGGTTGCTTGGTGGTGATGAGGAAGTGTAGTGGAGGAGTGCGACGAGGATTGGTGGTGGGAGGGAGGACGACGTTGAAGATGAGGAGAGAGAGTAGGAGGAGGTGGTGGTGTGGATT